GCACTAGGAGTTTTTACAGGCACACAAAAATCTAGCTCCAGACATTGGCCTCAGAAGAAAGAGAAAGTTTTCCATATCTGGAGGACTTTCACAACTTGGCAGACTTCGATTTTTCTTCTTGTATTACGGTGTGCAACTGTGGATAAGTTTAAAGCAAGTGCATTTGATTTTCACTTGGTGAGGTAATAGCCCGGCAGTCTTCTGTGTAAAACCTGCAGCTAAGTTGAAACCATTCATGGCTTGATGTCAACTGCATTAATTTGACTAGTATCAGTCCCAAATAAAATCTGAATTTCTCTTCCAAGTTGGGAGCTTTACGGCAATGTGTGTGCAAGAATGTTGTGCAATTTTTTCACTCTCTTCCTGTTTACAGACACCTCCTTTCTCAAGTGTGGAGCACTCTACATAGTTAAGGATTTGAGATGTTTGCATTTGGGGAAGAATGTATGTAAATTAAAAGCTAAGGCTTCTGTCCTTACCTGTCACTTATTTTTGTCTTGTGTTGTAAAACTACGTATTCACATAGTCAGTGATGTTGTCTGCCATTATGTTTCTCACCTATAAGCAGCCTAACACAGTATTGCCCAACCAGTTTTTCATATTGATGAGGCATCTCATCAAACATGCAGATGGATTATCAATCTTTGGATTGTACAAAAAGAAACAATTTTTTCTTCCCGTGTTTGTCTTTGGAAAGCTTTAAATTCTTTAGCTGAGCATCTCTGTTGCTGTCAGTTGCTAGATTATGTTTGAGAGATATTTAATAATATTGTCTCCCTATTTTTTGGGACTAGAGATGTTCTGAAGAGTCATTGTACTGCACAGATTAGATTTCCCAGTCCAGAAACTTTCTTCTTTGAAGAGTGTTGCTAGTGGGTTTTCTGAACCTGTGACAGAGAAAGTTGATAAAAATGGTTTCCTTACAACATGAGAAAGTGAGAGACTCTTTTTCTTGCAGCAGTAGTCCAGGTTGTTTGGTATCAGACTGTTTTGATCTGCATCCCTTGATTTAGCAGGCCCAGAATTCTATCTGTTTCCAGATTTTATTTGAATGCACTGACATCCAAAGTCAGCATCCACATTTCAGCATGTTTGATCAGGTAGTCCAGATGCTGGTGGGGTTTTGGATTTAGATTTATAATTAAAGTTTTCCTGACCAGGGTTGTTCATAGCAGAGAACAGTCTAGAGGAAGAGTAAATAGCCGTGAATTGTGTTGTGATATTCTGTCTGCCTCAGTTTCTTTTCCTTACTTTCATATAGAAAATTTAAAACTACTTGTCTGTGTTGAAAAGTTAATTGTTTCTCCGTTAGTTTAATGGAATTCCAATTATCAGCTGTTTCAGCTTTACTTTCTTCTCTACAGTATTTTCAATTTCTTTCTTCCATTCAATTACTGCATGATTTCTGAAGAGACTAATTAGTGTTTTTCCCCTCTAATTAAGGACATCGGTTCCTCAATTTAAAGTCTTAGCAGAAAACCTTTTGAATCTTTTCTTAATCTGTTCCATCCTCCATTTATCAATAAAATAGCTACTTTCTGATACAAGGGCACTTAATATAGATGAGGCCATTTATAGAACTTTTTGCGAATTGTAACCTAAGGTTATACCACGACATGGAGTGTGGTTGGTTTGTTTTTCCTCAAAACTAGAAGTTTAGAATTATTCACCTTTTGATGACAAGGAAAGATCCTATATGAGGATTTGTTTACATCTATTGTGCAGTAGTAATTCAAGGGGTTGTATTTCAACATAGTTTCCAATTGGATAACTGAATATGAATGTACTGTAAGGTAGTTAAAATGGCAGTATTTGCTTTGATTAGAGCTCATAAAGCCAACACTCATCTATATCAGTGGCATTTGATAGAATCTTGCCAGTGTGTAATGTTTGTAAGGCTGCCAGTGGAGCTCCATTCACACTTTGAGTGCTAAACACTGTCACTGAAGTTGAGGCAGTTATACCACTTTTGAAAGAGCAGTACTTTAATTAGATGGAGACTGTGGTACTATGTCTTCTGACTTAGCATCATCAGGGTACTGCAGAAAGCGTCCCATATAGTGAATGTGCGTGTAGAGTAACTGTTCTTCTGAATGGGTTGTCTGTACGTGCAAACCCTTCCCATCTCTTTCTTTCCCCAGAGTCCTGTTTAAATTTTGGGATGCTAGATTGAGAGGGGAAAGATGCACTCTAATCCTTTCGTGACCGCGATGTACCTTGGGGGGAGTGGGATTTGAAGTGTCTCTTCTGGATCTTCTGTGGTATCATTGTCTTCACAGTGTTTACAAAATGCTTTTTCCTGTGGTGTCCTAGCAGTTTTTGACACCTGCTGTACTCTCCGTTCCCATTGCTATTACATAGGTTCACTGAATGACTGCACCACTTCTGTTGATGCAGTCATCCAAAACTGACTGTTGTTCCACATGTAGGAATCCAAGATAAAACCTCCACCTAAGTCTTAGTGCAGCTTTTCAAAGTTTCGTAGTGGATAATGCTTAAGTACAAGGGTTGTGCCTGTGACAAAACATGTAAACAAAGTGGGAACAAAAATGAGTCAAGTTGTATCAGCTCTGGTCGTAGGATTTGCCAGAGTCTGTCAAGATTGTGTTTCTCTGCAGTCCTCTGTTATTTCCAGAATGTAAGAACTGAGGATCTACTCTTTATGATTTTGCTACAGATTATCTGAGAATTTTTTCCCATTGCCCATATAATAGTAAATGATTCTCTCCCACCCACATTTTTTCTTCAAAGTTTCCAGTGTTTTTCCTTCCATCCTTCTACCTCTTTCCAATTCCTTGGAGTCTCTTAAATCAGAAATCTGGAGTTGAAGAGAACTGTGTTGGATACGGGGCATGCACTTCTTATATCAGCATGTTTGTAGTGTATGATAGGCAATGGTTGAAAGTAGAGGAGGAAATGGTGGAACATTAATTCTGTTTATGTGAAATTGCTTATCTCAAATGCTTTGAGTATCGATGCCCATTGTTTAAAAGTGCACATGAAAAACTGATCTAAATTAACTGTTGTAGTTGCACAGTGGTTTTGTCTTCTTCTCATTCTCAGTTAACATACCGAGAACTAGGAACCAGTTGCAAGGGCTTTTGATATGTCTTTTGTTTTAAATATAATAGGATAAATAAACTATTTGACTGATTCATGTGTGTAATTTGTAAGATGTACTAGGTTTTTTAAATTCTCAGATGCAAGCAACCAACATATTTTACAAAGAAAAAATAATTGAATAATAGTACGAAAATTGATGACAAAATGTTTTGACTGACTTTAGCACATCTATGGCAACAGAGTAAATGGTGTTCCTTTTGGTGTGAAACAGTGAATTCTTTGAGAGAACATGTATATGCACATTTTCCCTTTGGGTAGAGCATGCATGCAGTCACTTGAACTGAACACTTTTAGCTTTAGCTGTACTTAGAGCAAGCATGCTCATACTTTAATTGGAAAAGAAGAAAATCATGACAAGTAAGTTCGCCAGTGATGCTGAACTATACAAGGTAGTAAAAAAGAAAATCAGTAATAACTGGGGAATTTGAGGACTCAATGATCAAGCATGCAGTAAAGGGGCAGTTGCAATTCAATGTAAATAAGTGTAGTGAGGTGCATGGAGGAGTAATGCTCTACAACTGTCAACTATTACCATTTTTGGAAAGTAATTTTGGGGGTGATAATAAATCTATAAAAACAGTAGCCTCAGTGATTAGTAGCTACCAAAGAGGCAAACAGTATTAGTCATTACTACAAAAAGCACCAAGAATAAAACAGAAATTTTCATCTTGCATCAATTCAGCTCTGGCATATTTTCAATTGCTACACTATCACATGTATTTAATGCTACTGCAGAGGTATAAATAAATACACATACATGCATACATACACCAAAACAGGAATTACTGTTGTGATTGTCCATTATAAGTTGATAAATAATCCTCCCCTTTGCTTTAAGTATCTCTAATGTATTTTTTATTTCCATTTTTTCAGCCTATTATAAAATGCAAATTTAGGATATCAGTGCTTAAGTTACTATTTCCCAGTAAAATTTCTGCAAAGTTTTCACTAAAAATCACCTGTTTAACTATAAATAAACAGGGATTTATCTGCTTAAGTATGCAAGGAGAAATAAGAGCAAAATAAGTTTTCACCCATTTCTACCTCATCTTCACTAACATTCTAAAACAGCAATTCCATTTTTAAAGTTCCTTTATTTTCTTTTCTGTCTTCTTTGGAGCTTTAACTAGCTGTTGTGAATATGTCTGAGTCATCTTTAGTTGGGAACACAGCTTCTTCAGCTATGTAAAAGCACTGCAAATACAAAATTTGGGAAACTACAAAACTCGTAAAATCTTGGGAGAGTCTCTTCAGTTCTTGCTGGCCTGATTTGAAATAAAACTGTGGAAAGAAATCTTTTGCATTGCAGACCAAGATGCTAGCTGCAATTTCTTCCAGCAAACAGTTTTAAGAAGTTAGATTTAAAAAGAAAGAAGGATGTAGGACACAGGTTAGATGAATCTGAAGAAAGTAGATAAGAAATATAGGACGGAAAATTTATGCAGAAAAGGAAGCCTCCAAAAGACTAGCTGGCTGTCAGTAGTCAAGTAGATACTGAATAGATAGGAGCAACTTGCTAAAGTAGTAGCTAGTTTTTTTCTCTAGACTACATTGTTTACACATCAAGGGCTAACGTGAAAACTGAGGGAACGGTGTAAAATGAGGTGTCATAGAACCATAGAATGGTTTAGGTTGGAAGGGACCTTATGATCATTTTGAAAGATGTACTAATGATTGTAAAAACAGAAAGAATACCTAGCACTCCAAGAGAATTAGTGGATGATTAGGAGTTTCCAAAAGTAATTAAATGGACAGTTTATAAACTAAAATTTTCTGTTAAATGAATGGAATCATATATAAAGTAAATGGGTTTCAAAATTTAAACACGATGGTATATTAACTTGATTTTACAAATATTTTTCTCTTGTATTTTTCAGAATGAAGAGAAGGCATCAGTCAGTTTTCCCTCACTTCTTAGCCATATGACTTCTTCTTTCTTAAATCATCCTGTAATTCCAATGACAACATACGCAGATTCAGGTGTCCCAGAGATGCTAAATACTTTTTCTCCACTCATGTCATCTATGCCTTGTGACATGCATTTTGTAAATCTGAGGACAATTCAATCAAAGGTAAGGTCGAACCACTATTTTTATATATTATATATTACATATTTTTACATATGATATAGCTTATTAATATAGTTTAATCAAATGCTTTATTCTAAGAAAGTAATTTATGGGGCTGTTTTTATATGATATGATTAACTGCTGTGTGATGACTATTTTTTGTTAATTCTGCAAGAATTAGAGACTTGCGTCTGAGTAACCTGGAATATAGGAATTGTTTTTTCACAGCATAATAATATGCATAGTGCATTATTCTGTCTCTGGAGGGGGTACATTTCAATGCATTCCCAAACTTTAAGAGCAGAAGAGTTCATATACCTTGGGCTCTTCACTATTAAGATGAATTGGAAGTAAGGTCATTAGACTTTGTTCTGGGTACAATAATTTGTGTTTTTAATAAAGCATATAATTTTAAACGCACCCGATTCCATTTGGAAGACGTAAAGAAAATCTACAACATCTTACCATCTATAGGAATTAATTGTTAAAATGTTATTAAGTTTAAACACAAGACCTATTTTAATTAATCTAACATCATCTTATAATCCTTGGATCCTGTGAAACTGTTCTCTGGTAAGTTTACCAAAAAAATAACCAAACAAAAAACCTATTCCATACTCAATATTAGTTTTTTTTTCCTTGCCAAGGAACTTACACAATTGTAATGACCGTATTTCAGTTTTCTGTTTGATAAATTATAGAAGTAGACTGTTTATACATCTTTCTTCCACCAGCTCTTGTATAAATTCTTTTCAGTTTTTCAACACCTTTTAAAATGTTAGTATATTAACTTTATGCTGTATTGCAGTATCACTCACCAGTGCTGTTACCATAGGTGAAATGCCTTTTTAATTCTGCCATATTTAGATACTTACAAACTATACTTGTCCCTTCTCCCTTGGGGTCTCCATGATGGCCGAGGTAGAACTGCTCATCTGTAATAACCTCTGATTATATTCACCATATCTGCAAAACTTGCTGTTAGCTATTTTTTTATAGTAGTTCTTCATTTTCAGTCTTAATCCTTATTTTGAAACTTAAAGAATTACTTTCTCACACTTTCTCTGTTAGTTCAGTCTCATGTACACTCCTTCAGCTGTGGCTGTTTCTTATTTTGAATTTCAACGTGAAATAACTCTTGATTCTGCGGGTCTCATGCCTTTGAAGAGCTAGGAGGAAGCTTTGTATTGAATTAAATCTTCATGTGAAGTTTACATGCCACACTTCACTGTAAAATCTTTTCATTGACTGCAGCCAGCTTAGCAACACCTGTTTGCTTCAGCATGTCAAGTTCAGGGGCAGACCGTCATGAACATGCCCCCTGCCCTTTTTTTCCAGACCTAAACTTCCTCACCTTGTTTGCATCATGTGACCATGAAACCTGTGAAATGGAAGGCTGTGTCTGCTTTTTTGAGTTCAGTGTTACTACTCATAGGTGAATTCTACGATTTTATCTGGGCTATACCAGCCCCACTATACCAGTTGGTATAAGATTGTTTGAGGCTATAATCTCTTCCCTGTCCACAACTCTGTATTTCAATGAGTACATGATTGACAGCTCTGAAGCTTGCAGCATTACTTTGTGCACTTCAAAGTGAAAATTATCAGTAGTCATAGGGTAGGAGCACTATCGTTATAGGTACAGAACAGTTCTTCCCCACAGCAGAAATGGTGCTATGCCTTGCAAATAATTTCTTGCGTGCCAAAACGGCCTTTTTTATATCTCTTCTCACTTGCTGCTGCCTTTCTCTCTCTTCCAAGTATTTGAATGACAAGTGTCATAATTCTGGCTAATTGATGCAGTGCAATTTTTTTCCAGAAATGTAGACTATTTCTCCATTGCTTTAGCTGTTGAAGTTGATTTTCAAGAAATCATATCATTACAATTTCAGATAAAACGGTACCAAATTAAAATGAAGTATTTTTAAGATTCAAGGTAGAAATCAGAATGCATGAAAGTACATTAAAACATAAATGAGAAAAAACATAAGGGAATTCCTAGTTTCCCTTTAAACTCTGCTCCTCTCTGTGGGGATAGTATTGTGATTGCTGTAAGATATATGATCTTGTCATGGAAGATTCCGATGCCTTAGAAATAAGAAATTTAAAGAAATTTTTTATAAAGCTTCAGTTTTTAATTTGTTTGACACAGATATTATCTACTGTAAATAGACTGGCCCTCAAGATTTAAAAACTGAGTACATTTGTCGCTTGGTGCTAAATATAAATACATATTTTTGTCATGTTGCTTGCACTTTTCAATATGTGTCTGTTAGCTTACAGTAATCGGATAAAAAAAGTGTTTAAATGTTTTTTGTTTCTCATCAAAATTTTAGCAGCATTGCCCTGGGATACTGCTTATGAAAAAGCCTAGCAAGATATTTTTTCCATCTAGAATCCTGATGTGAGAACCACATTTTATTTCTCAGAGATCAAAATCAAATCAAACTTTAGCAGCTCTTCAAATAAAGGCAGTCAGAGATTTGATAATACAGTATTTGTCATATAACAATGCTGTGAAGTTTTGCGATTAGGGGTGGTGGTGTTTGTTGAAAATTGAGAAATTTGTTACAGGTTTTCATGCAGTTAGTGTGGTCATGTTTAGTAGGTGTATTTGATGTAAATTAGGTTCATCCTTGCTCAGACATTTCTTAGGCTCGCATACGCTTAATCTAATTCACCTCAAGATGATATAAAAAGAGGTAAGCTAAAAGAGATGCAGAGGCTGTGGGAACTTACTCAGTCTTACACCTTCTTTGATAACAGGTTAGAACAGTTTAATTTATTACATGTAGATGCTGTGAGCATGATAATGTCCTGGGAATTCTAAAACACTGACTGCTATATCGTAGATGTTTATACTTACCAAAACTCTTTTCCTGAAGGTGTCATTAATTGTTTATTACCTTTCTGTTTTAAATCTTTTGAATCTTAATTAAGATAATATTTAATTTTAAAAACTTAAGAGGTAAAATATTCATGCCATCATTTGAAATGCAGAAATGCATTTGTTATGCAGATTACTACAAGATAATTCCACTTTAATAGAGAAAATATTGATACCCATTACTCGCCTGTCATTTTTAACATCAATTTACCCCATAGGAAGTGAGGCTTTTGCAGTATGAATTTTAATACTTTACTAATCTGAAGTTTAGGCAGACGGTATAATTTTGTGTGCATAAAAATGTCTGCTTTTAAATCCAATTCTGTTATATCAGTGACAGTGAAAAACAAGTCAGATATTTCAGAGTTGGAGGCGGAAAATAATTTTATCACATCATCGTTATTACCTTACTTAATGTAACTTAAGTTACTAATGTAACTTAATGTATTACTTAATTACTTAACGTAATTACCTTACTTATTACCACAAACAGTGGTAATACTGTTCCAATAGATAGGATAAGGATTTTTTCAACCATCAGTGATACTAAGTACTGCAAATCTGTTTGAATATGATGACTGTAGACATCATTCATTATTTAAAAAACGGATTTTAGGTGGTTATAAGATAATGTTGTTCCTAAAAAAAATTCTCAAACTGAGTTTTATTCATGATTTGTAAACTATGCAAAGTTTTTACCAGACAGTGTTTTACCACAAAGTATCTCATTTAAATTCCAAATACTGTTGAGAAGATCTTTGCTATTTTAGTGAGGAACTTGCTTAGAAAACACTAACATTAAGTTTATCAGTTTACCATTTTTTATTGTCTGAAAGAGTACTTTATACTATGAATTTGTCCTACTATGAAGCTGTGTCGTGCTGGGTTTCAAAGAAGCTGGTTCAAACTGTTTCAAGATCTCCTTTATTAGGAGAAAATCGGTTTGGATCTGAAGTGTGATAGATTAAGACCTCTCTTGTTTGTTACACCTTCAAGAGCTAGAGCATCACAAAGTCCTTAATGCTTGTTGGCATAGGTTTCTCCAAGGCAATAGATACTTACTGAAGTACCAAAAATGAACATAACTCATGGCAGAGATCTGGGGGAAAAGCACCAGTACAAAACCAAGTAAACCAGAAATAAATTTGAGAAAAATAGCCAGAAGAGCTGGCATGGCTGCGGATACAGTCATCTTTTTTATGTCCTTATTATATATGTAATAAGATGAAGAGCAGAAGAATGTAAAAGAACAACAAAAAATAAATAAGTAAAGCAATGCATCATGGAAAATAAATGACAAGGTGAGTATAGCGATACAGCAGCCAGCTTGCAGCCAGCATGAAGGGCATCTTGTCATGTGCCAATCCTGTGGTGTGAAGATAGCTTGCAGGCACATCCATCTGTAACACGAAGAATTTCTTTTCTGTTACTCTCACTGTACAATAGTGCTTTCTACACCTTAATATAAAAGAAGAACAATGACGTTCTTGTGTAAATTGAAGTTTCCCAGCCAGTTCTAGGTTATTACTTTGTTTTCTGAAGTATGTATCAAAACAAGTGGAAAAGGATAGATGTAGATTAAATATCAGGAAGAAATTTTTTGCTATGAGGGTGGTGAGACACTGGAACAGGTTGCCCACAGAAGTTGTGGCTGCCCCATCCCTCGAGGCGGTTAAGGCCAGGCTGGATGGGGCTTTAAGCAACCTGGACTAGTGGGAAGCATCACTGCCCATGGCAGGGGAGTTGGAACTGGGTGATCTTTAAGGTCCCTTCCAATTTAAACCATTCTATGATTTAAGGCATTTATATGCTATTCTTGTGACCATTTGTCCTAAGTCATTTTAGTGATTTTGTCCAAACTATAAAGTTGAGATTGTGTGTTACTCTTCGATTACTCTTTGATGCCTGTTGAGGCTCAAGAGCACTGTGTGTCATATCTATAAACATAACAGTTATTTAATATTTGTGCTTTAGTATACAGTTTCCTGTCCACCTTAAGCTGAGTTAGATTTAAGAGATCAGGTTTGCAAAATGAAAGCTTGATGGAACACAGTCACAATAACTATTTAAAACTGGCTATTGCAATTAGCCCGTAATTTCTAGGTTGGTTTTGGGTTTGCCATATAATTTTTCTGGGAAGCCAGTTAATACAACTATGATAGCTACACTTAAATTCTGAGTCTGCACATGTGCATGTCTTGAGCTTTGAACTCCTTGGTTAACAACTTACCTTTACCTTTATATTCTGTAGTTCTTTGTATATCTAGACTCTCTTTGCTGTTTAGTTCTTTCTATGTTTAGTCTTAGAAGCGTTAAAAAAAAACATGACTGTTCAACCTAGACTGAACATTATTTAAGGCATAAGTGGCTCTGTAACTGTAAGGTAATGATAATTTTCTGAGGTCCTAAAATGTCTTTCTAGCTCTGCTACTTTCTGAGTATTTTTTATGTTGTTTATTTGTAGGTAGATACTGAGCCGTCTGATGAAGCTGCTCTGATTCTTCACAGAAAGGGATTTGACTGTAGATTTTCAAACAGAGACATGGGTCTGCTCTGTTCCACTACTCAGGGAAAGGTATACTGAAATTTTATGGGTAGCTTACCTTACAAGTATTGCAGAAACACTGATCTTTAAGTTAAATTATAGGTAAAGTCTAGGTAGTTATTTCTCAAGAGTTTTGCTTTCAGGATAATAGTTAAGTTTGTCTTGAAAGCTGCTTTCCATTTGGTCAAGGTATGAATCTGCTGGTGTGTGGGAATGACCACATAAGCATCAAGTAAACTTCTAGGTCAGTTTTAATCTGATTAACTTCTGTAAGTGTTGTTTTCATGTAACACGGATCAGTATTTCTCAAAAAAAAAAAAGTAATAGCATTTTATAACTTTACTAAGCGACAAGAGTCAAGTTACATATTCTGAAGTGTGTCTTTTGAATATTATTAACAAGTCCAGAAGTTATGGAACTGTTACTGTGAATACTGTTGATTATTATAATTGATGTGATACGTAAAATTATGAAATATAAATTATGCAGCTTTGTTCTAAGGGTTACAGACGGACTGGATGGTTATGAATCTGTAGAAATTTTGTAATCAAATCTTGAAATACAATTGGGATTTTCTTAAAGTAGAAGCGTGTTATTTTATTTAGAAACAAGAAGAGTTTTATTCCAAATATTTCTGAGTTTTAAATATATTGATTTAACTTACTTGCTTTGAAATGTGGCAAGTGAACACTGACTAAAAAGATTTAGTGTATAGCATTTGAGATATGGTACTTAAAAGTATTCATAATCTTTAGTGTAAGAATTGCTGTGCTGATACCTGTAAGGAGATGTGTCATTGGGATCATTGTTAGAGATTAGGGTAAAGTCAATTGTAAGGTATATACTGTATTTTCTAAATATATATCTGATTTTTTTTTATTTTCAGATGAAGGTGCATAAACTCTTTAATAAATTCAGAGTGGAAAGTCTTACAGCCACATCTTTATCTTTGATGCATTCACCTCCAGATGCCAGAAATATAAGTGAAATAAATATGAGTCCTATGGAGATAAATACATTCCGGATTCGGCTAAGATGAAATCTGGCTTTAATACTCAGATAGAGAAGAGGAATCTGCAATTATATCTCCTCTAAGTTTCACGTGCAATAAGAAGCACATTATTATTATTCCAGCTTCTGGATACTGTGACAAAAACATGCATTCTGTAATTTTTTTGACCAACACAGTGAAAAGCCATGTTGCAAGCAACTTTTTTGTTTGGGGGGTTTTGTTTGGTTTTGTTTTGTTTTGTTTTGTTTTTTCATAAAATAGCAACATCAGTATAAGTTAATGCAGCAAGTGAAGAAATTTCTAAGGATGTTAACCTCTCAACAGATTAAATCTCAGGTTAAATACTAACTAATGATGTTTCTGGTGTTTTAATTTTCATAAAGAGGGGATTGGATTTTAAACAGCCGCCTTTGCTGATCCTTGATGAGTTTATGTACAAATAATTCAGTGTACAAAGTCCTGATGCAGCTTGGAAATAAAATGAAATAAAATCTTCTTGTGTATTAGCTAATGTCCAAATATTTACAATCATTTATATAAATGACAATAATTTCAATGTATTCCACAATTAATTTCAATTTATTCAACACAAAGGGGATTATTAATTGTGGTAAAATGAAAGCCTGCAGTACTTGTGATAAGTGATGGTAGATTTTAATACTTCTGCCATTCACCTGAGTTATGTAAATAGGAAAACATGAACATACAAAATAATTTTGCAATGGAAATGTTTAATAAAACTCCCATTTTGTTACTTGACACACTGGGATATGTGCAATTATTCCATTATCATGTATGATGAGAAATGTCCATAATTACCATGAATACAAGATTTTTTATAAAACTCATTTAGATACCAGTGTTCTCTGAAATGAGTTTTCTATTTCAAGATTACCATATCAAGATAAATGTGCCTTATTTTTTGATACGTCTTGTTACAACTTTGGTGTCTATGTTAATGTTTTGGGGGGAAAGGTAGTTTATATAATACTTAAGCTGTGTATCTCCTGTTTGACAATGCTGGCCACACTCTGATCTATGTCCTCCTGCACCAAGTTTGTGCTATCTTATTCTGAGCATTTTGACTATTTGAATGTATGAAAATGATGTCATAATATGAAACACAGACAAAGAAAAGAATTACTGTAAAATCTAAATTCAGCTGCTTTCAAGGAAATTGCAACTTGATGCAGAGTTGATAGTAAGCAAGACATAGTTTGCAAACCCATCAAAACATGTGCTTGCATGTCACAGACTGTGGTGACCTGTTAATTCAGAATCATGTGCCTATATTTTAAATGACATTTTTCAAACTTGCAACCTCACTTACATTGCCAGTGTTCACATTATTGAAAATTTGAGTCTTACTTTTTGCTTTGTTTTCACATGTTAAGTAATTCATATTTAGTGCTGAAGCCATTCAAGTGTGAAAAATATTTCCCCAAGTAGAGCTGCTGTTTACAGTTAATATGTATAAACATGCACTTCAGTATGATCCCATTTGAGTCTTCATTTATCTTCATAACTCTTTATTCTATCTCTTGCTTATGCTTTACTTTTCCATACATCATTGCTTATCTTTAATACTAATGCATGAAAAGTCATCATAACTGGTAAAAAGATGTGCTATTTTCTAAATCTAATATTGCCTACTGTATTTAATTTCATCATTGTTGTTCCACAGTGTATCAAATTATCATGTAGCTACAGGCGATCTTAAAAGAAAATGAAAGTGAAACTTTTGATTTCATACATTGTCACAGGTTGGGTCTCTGTTGAGATTGTGTAAATTTCCCTAATTAATTCAAGCTACTGTGTGTTTTGTAATTAATGGAATACTTAGGATCTGGTGCAAGTTATATCAAGAATATAAGAACCACTAACCACAAACAGAAGAATCAGATGGATCCAATAAATGGATGTTTTCATGCAATAAACATGTACTGTAACTTTTCTTAGCTGTAGTATTTGAAAATACTATTTTTTGTTGGAACTCAGACTTGGTAGATTTGCCAGCAGAAATTTCTCATAACATTTATTTTGTTGCATCTTCAGAATTAAAATGCTTCAGAGACTTTTACATGTTCTGTGCAAGAGAGCTTTCAAAATACTATTTCAGTTTTGTTAGGCAGAAAAGTAAAATTTTGATGCAATAAAGTTTTAAAGTATTTTGCCTGTTGGAATTGCTTCCAAAAGATATTTCATATAGCATTCAATCTTTTCTTTCGTCATCAGCTGTACAATCATGATGCCTGAATGTTCCTTAACCAGCAGATTTAATCTGTGTTCCTTTATTTTGCATTTTTTTGTGCAACAACAGAACAGCCGTCATTTGGGAGCCTTTCCTGAAATACGTAACTAAGTCAAAACTCCAGTGAAAGCCTGATAATAAATTTTACTTTAATTGGATCTGAATGTGGCTGTTGATGGACTTGGTTGTTGGTTAGGGTTGTTTTTTTTTTTTTTCACAAGAACTCTTAATGAATTCTTATGCTGTATTTTTGTTATATTGGATATTTCAATTAAGTTCTTGTTTTTTTCTGTGCATTGGTCATCTAATTTAATCATACTAATTTCTTTTTTTCTGTTTTTATAACTGCTGGGTTTATAAATACTGGTTAAGAGAACCAAGCATCCTTACCTTCCAGTATGGTTTTAAAGACAATGCTATGTAAGAAATGGTTTAAAACCTTGTAATTACTTTCCATACCAGAGTTATACCTGTACTGATTTTTTTTTTACCTTCCTTTATCTTAAATGTCTTTGGTTTACTTGCTCATTGTCTGAAACAAACTGATTTCAACTGAAGGTTTTTGATATTTTCTCTTGGAAGGTTTTATATCTTATGGGGATATGTAAAATAAGATCTCTAATAAAAGATAATGTTATTGTGAGATGTGGTGAGTGTCATTAATGCATTAATTTAAATTAAAAAAAATAATAAAAAAATAATTAAAAAAAAAAAAGAAAAGAGGAAAAACAAGCATGCCTTCTTTGAGAAGGTTGATATTTTGGTAGCTTTTGGGAATGGCAATTATGTGTAGTGAGGTGAGCTCCTGACGAAGGATGTAACCTATTTCACAGTGGCCAAACAGAAGAAGATAGTTGCTAACTTCAGAAACGTAAACATGCGTGATTGCACAGTGTGGGAAGGGAATGGGTAGCTCTTCTTTCACAAAGGAAACCTTGCACTGACTTATCAGAAAATAGTAGGTGTAAAATTCTGGATTTTTTTTTTTAACTTTAATTAATCTCATTTCTCTTTCAAGCTTTTGAGAGTAATGGAATGGAAGCTGTTCTTGTAAATTAAATTAACAAACATACCATTAGAAAATAAAGTCAAAATAACAGTTCAACTGTAATTAGACTGAACATTTTTAAGAAAATAATATAATGCTATTACAATATGCTGTAATTACATATGACAAGTTGAACAGGCGTAGATGCTTTACAGATTTGCTTCCCAAAGTGCTGATGGAGCTTGAGTATAATGAGTTGCAAAGACAATTAGTATAAATTTCAGTCAGTGCCTGAAGCTATTTGATGTTGGACTGGATAGTCTTAGCTATAAATATAAAAGTATACATAAACACATACAATGTAAATCCCCATAATTTTAAAGGTAGTGTTTCAAGATAAAAGTATGTAACATCTAACTGCAGCAGGCAACAATGGGTATGGGTCCAATTTAAAGCACCCCTTCACCTTTTTAGGTCATCCTACTCTGGAATCCATTAATATCAGCATGACCATCTGGACAGAACATACTCCACTAATTCCAGTTACCAATAAAGTATTTTACTTTTTGAAATTAAATGGACTATATTTGATGTATTCCTGTCCCTTGTGTTTTAAAATAACAGATGCTAGATATCTCTGCACATCTTTACTGGTACTGACACTAAAATACATTGCTCAGATTTAACAGGTTGTCTGACTTGTGATGAGTTGTATATGAGACAAAATATAAAATAGAGATTCAATTTGTTATCCTATTTATTTTAGGATAACTATTCTGTCATAATATTAAGAATTTGAACAGCAAAAAAACAGCCAAAGGTATTAATTTTGTCTTCTAATAGAGGTAACATATGAAAAAAAAATGCATTATCTAGAATAAGGTCAATTAATTGGAGAACTATTGGGATTTTCAGACAGCGTTCCTACTAATATGAAGTTTCTCTGTCTCCAAACATTTCTATAAATTTCAATATTAAATTGTGAACCTGTCAGTCTTTTATCAACTAATAAATATTTAAAGTACATATTGCATCATTAGCTTTTATCTGCCAGAATTTCTATACAGAGTAGCAGTAATGCATTATTTACATTACTCTCCTTCCTTTAGGTAAATTATTTAATAACACTGAGGGTAATGAGGAAATAATTAAACTTCCATCATGTATGTAAACCTGCGGTATTTGAACTGTAAAGACAGGAATATTTTTAATTGTACAATTCAGAGCTTTAGTTTGAGTATAACATATTCTTCCTGCTATACAATGCCTATTAAAGGGATGTCCTTTGACTGACAGTCTATAAAATCATTCATTTTATGGGTATGACTAAACTGGAGACTTTAATCCCATCAGTGTCTGTCCTGCTTTACCACCACCACCACTCCTTGCGCATCACACACATCTACCATACAGGAAGGCATGTGCCTCTCAAATCATGACCTGCAAAGTAACGTGAGATCTCCTCAGATAGCTGGTCTATTTTTATTTCTATATCTAACTTAGTTATTCCTTTTGTACTACTTTCTGTTTCCTTAGCATGCCAGCTAAATGCATAGGCGTTTGTAGCCTCCAGCACGTTACACAGCCTTCCAGCTCTGCCTAGAGCTTTCTGGAGTCAGACTGCCTGCAGTGTCAGCCAAGGCGTGAGATGTGCTGGGTGTGAGCACTCAGCCAGCTCTTCAAGGATTACATGGTTTTAATCTACATCAATGAGCGTGCAAACGGGGCACATGCCCTACTTGCTTGCCACAACTGCTTCACATTGTTAGCCTGCTCTTCAGGAACATA